TGTCCTCACTGTAGAAACTGTAACAGTGCAGGAAAGAGCTTCAGAGGGAGGACGGCTCAGCCCGCAGAGCCCCGCCGCCCCTCGGGGCCCCTCCCCCGGACATCTGCCCTGGAGCACACACACCTGCGACCCTGAGCCCCCGACACAGCGCGGGCTCTTTCCGTCAGTGTGTGTCACAGCATGTCAGTAAGTACAGACTGAAGTTGTCACTCTCGGTGGGCCTGCGATATTTCACAACTGTATGCATGATCTCTGAATCTGTTTGCTATCACGCGTGTGAACCGTCGCGTGACCGGCGGCATCAACCTTTCACCTTTATGGCCGAGGCCGCCGTACATATTCGGGGCGCGCGCCCCTTTGTCTGGGCGCTATCACCGGCAGCCTTCTGTAAAGAAAGATAAAGTCTCTGTTTTTCTTGGATTCCTTTAGGTGACGGTATGATGGGTGCTTCAGACTGGGTCCGTTTTGAGAGCAGAAAGTGGAGCTATGAATAATTCCGCCTCCCAACAGGCCCAAAGGAGGGCTGACCTGGGCAGGCCAGGTGTCTGGCTCACCTGGGAAGAGCCCAAGGGGGTTTCTGCGAAAGGCACGTGAACAGGTGGGCCAGGTCGTGCCAGGGTCGTGGTGATGGGGCGGCGTTATGGTGACCATCCCCACCCAAAAGGTTGAGTTGCTGACTGAGGTTGGTGTCTCCCCACCACTTGGGGTTGGAAGCACTGGACACCCTGGGGGTGAAGCTGCTCCAAACTTCCCCATCCAGCCGTGTACCTGTAGTCACCTGTCTGCCCGTCTGTCTGTCCAGCAGCCCTGAAGCAGCCAAATTAGCACTGAGAACAGGGCCTGGCACAAAGGTGCTCAACAAGATTTGTGAGTGAATGAGTGAGTGAATGAATGAATGAATGAGTGAATGGTGACTGAGTGAATGAATGGATGAATGGATGAATGAATGAGTGAACAAGTGAATGAGTGAATGGATGAGTGAGTGAGTGAACGAGTGAACGGATGAATGAGTGAGTGGGTGAATGAATGAATGAATGGATGAATGAATGAGTGAACGAGTGAATGAGTGAATGGATGAACAAGTGAATGAGTGAATGATTGAGTGAGTGAATAGTGAACGAGTGGATGAATGAGTGAATGAGTGAATGAGTGAATGGATGAATGAACGAGTGAATGAGTAAATGGATGATTGCCAGGACCATGCCCACGGCAGCTGCCGTCTGTTGGCACCTGACTAGGGCCAGGCACTCACTAACCCTTGCTCACGTGTGCTCTCATCCACCCTCCCAGCAGCTGCCAGGCAGTGCCACTAGTCCACTTTATGGAAGAGGAAACAGTCTTGGACAGGTAGATCCATCTGACAGGTCGGGAGTGACAGGGTTGCCCTGTGACCTTGGCCTGGCTGACCCTGGAGTCACATGTGCACACACAGTCACAGCACCCCCTCCCTCCCCGAAGGCCCCAGCGTACCTGGTGAAGGGGATGGGAGCCCGATGCCACCGGGCAAGGAGGGTGCTGCCCCCAGCCAGCGATCTGTCCACTCAGGGCTGGGAGGCCATGAGCTCACGCTTCGTCCCCCAGATGGGAACCGGAGCTGTTCCCTGATAGTTCACTCTGACTTTGGAGTCTGCCCCCTCCCACATGGCTCCTCCACCAGTGAACTTGGGACCATGGGACCTTAGGGTGGCAGACAGACCCTCATCTAGCCCTTCCTCTCATTTTCAGATGAGGAAACTGAGGCCCAGAGAGGTTCCACCGCCAGCCCAGACCTCTGAGCTGGCTGGCGGCACAAGGTGAATGTCTCGCCAGCTGTTGGCTGACCCTCCCTCTGGGCACTGGACATTTGTGGCAACTGCTGGTCGTGGAGACCATAGAAGCCCCGGAGTCGATGACAGCCTGTCTCGCTGGGATCCTGTGGCCCACGGAATCAGCGCCCTGAGGGATGTGACTTGTCCTTTACCTCGGGCCCTCTGGGGCTCACGACCCCCTAAGTGCCCCTTGTCACGCCGGGTGGCTGGCTGGCAGGGGCGGCCCCCGGGGGCTGGCTGGGCTGTTGGAAGCCAGCTTGCTCGGCGGCGACCCAGCCGGAGGAGCGGCCTGCGCCTGCCTGCAGCTCTTCCCTGTGAAAGGTGTTTAATTATTTCTGACAGAGTTCAGCGCTGACATCTGTTCACGAGCGGGGAGAGTTCATTTAGGTTATCCATCACTGTGACAGGCTCAACTTTTTTGGAAACGCTTTTACCTTTCATAATGGGGCCAGGGCGGGGAGGGGTGGGGCGGGGGATCAGCAGGGACAGGACACAAGAGGCAGACAAAGACCCTCCTGGGCTCGGTGCTCCAGGCCCTGACCACAGGGGCCGCCCGACGCTGCCCCGCCTCCATCAGCGGCTGCCGGGGTGCTGGGTGCTGGCACGTCTGGTTCAGAAAGTACGTTTAATCAGGTCTGTAAAAGGTTTTTAACTCTCTGTCCTGGGCTGTACTTGTCTCTCATTCTTTAAAAGAAAATTTTTTTTCTTTATTAATTTTTTAGAAAGAGAGGAAGGGAGAGGGAGAGGGAGAAACATCGATGAGAGAGAACATTGATTGCTGCCTCCTGCATGCCCCCCACTGGGGATCAGGCCCACAACCTGGGCATGTGCCCTGACCGGGAATCGAACCAGCAACCTCTTGATGCAGGGTCGACGCTCAACCCCTGAGCCACACCGGCCGGGCTTGTCTTTCATTCTTTCATCCACTCCTTCATCCATTCTTCAGACACTGACCACCCTCTGGGGGCCAGGCACTGTGCTGGGCTCTGGGGACATGATGGGGGCACGACACTCATGGTCCTAATGGGCTCCCGTTTCATTGGGGAAGATGGACAGTGAACAGCTAGTGGTCCATTTAGGTAGTTGATTGACGTGTGGATGAGGGCAAAGGGGGGGAAGGGAGCCGTCGGGGGAGAGGGGACCTGCTGGGGTGGGGCCGGGCGGTGAGGGAAGGAGCCCAGTCGTGGAGAGAAGAGGTTTAGGAAGCCGGGGACTGAGCCCGGGATCCCCTTCGCCAGGGCAAGGCCCTCCACCTCTCTGAGCCTCAGTCTCCACATCCGTAGAACGGGGACATCGTGTCTGTGAGCTTGCGCATGTCCAGCCCTCACACACAGTGCGCGCGCAGTAAGCACCTCTCATTTCCCACCGGGAGGGGGCTGAGCACCGATCTGCTAGTGGCAGCACTCTGGGGCTCTAAGGGCCTCGCTGGGCTGTAACAGGTGGCTTCTGGAACCCCGTGAACATCCCAGAAAAGATGAGAAACACCCTCTCTGCCCGGCGCCTGCGTTCCTATTCCTTCTCGTGATGGGTAGTGTGCGCCGCCTGGGCCCTGCTGTCACCGGAACCTGGGTCCCAGGCCCAGCCCCTCGCTCTGCACAACGGGTGAGGACATCTGCAGGACAGAATGCACACAGATCACTAGCACAACGCCTGGCACCAAAGTAAAGGCTGGCGTCATCGGTCGGCCACTGCTGCGCGTGACAGGATTTTCTAACAGTGTCAAGACCGGGGGAGGCCGTGCAGGGCTCAGTCAAATCTCCTCCTTGGAAAATAGAAGCTCTTCTGTTTATTTCTGTGTGGGTGTTCCAACCGTGGGCCGGACACTGCCGGGACACCAGCGAGTGAGACAGGAGCTCCTGGCACAGGAGAGTCGCTGTGGCCCAGGGTGGGGGGGGTGAGGTGGAAGGAGCCCTTTCCCTGTCCCGCTGGGGGCGTGTTGTGAGCCCGTGTCTGTCCCTTGCCTTGGGACTCAGGCAGATCCTAAGTCAGAGGGGAAGGGTCTGGGGGCTTGGAATCAATGCTAGAGAGCAGCGAGCCAGCCGTGCAGGGCATCTCATGCATGGAGCCAGGAGCCCCGGCCCTCCCCAGACAGCACCCCCCGTGCCTGCACCCCACCAATGTTGCAGATGTTGGGATGCTGAGTGAGAGATGGGGAGGAAGAGCGCGGCTCAGAAGGCAGGAAATGGGGAGCGACAGAGCGCGGCTGAGGGGTGCGGCGGGTCAGGGAGAAATGCTGCAGCATCCGTGGCTCCCAGCGCCTCCTGACCGGCCAGGCAGTTCCTGTGCACGGGGGCGGCGCGGCTGACGGGCGGCGGGGCAAATGGCCACTGACATGTGCCGACAGAGGCCACTGGGCCGACACGAGAGGCCGCATCGAGGGGGCGGGCAGGCTTCCCCGGCGCAGCTCAGCAGCTTGTTCGATTGCATTAGGCTCAGGAAGGCACCGGCCCCTTCATTGTCTAAATTGCAGTTTAACTCGACACGGCGGCCGGCCTGGGCTAGCCCAGATGCTGCTTGATGCGGCTGTCTTCCTGGGGCCAGGCGTGTCCCCTGAGGCCCCTAGAAAGGCTCAGTGGGCCAGAGGTGGGCATGCACAGCCCCCCGCCCCCGTCCTGAAGCTGCTGTCCCCAGATGGCCTGGTTTTCCTCTGCGTCGTGCCCACAGCTCTTACGGGAACCTCTGTTTGGGCACAGCTGCAGGGCTACTGGGCGAATGAACACCACTCAGTTCTGAGTTTAGCCCCCAGGAGACCTCTGCTCCCATCGCCCAGGGATCCCACCCTGAGGGAGGTTTAGCGCTGGTGGCACTGAGCTGTCTTGCGTCCCCAAGTCCCCAGGACAGGATGTGGTGCTGCGATGACCCTATCAGTGGAGGGGTTTGACCCAGACAGTGTCCAGAGGCAGGACAGACCCCCAGGCTCCGGTGTCAGGTGGCCTGGACCCAGCCCAAGGCTGCCCCTTACCAGCATTGGCCGTTTCCTGTCTGTGACATGGGGACAGAGCAGCAGCTGCCCCTTCGGTGAGTGTGACGGGTCTGTGACCTGGAGCTCAGCGCTGGCACTTAGGACATGCTCACCGCTGACAGCAATCCTGATATTACTGCCGTTATGCCCCTTGGGGGTTAGAAGCTCACAGAACTGGGGCGAGGTGAGTGGCGGCTGCCCAGGCGTGGGAGGGGCAGGGGTGAGCTGACCTTCCGGAAGTGGGGCATGTGCCAGAGGGCGTCCAGCTTCACGGGCGGCTTGTACTTCCGCAGCTGGCTGCTCCGGGTCTCATAGAGCTTCCCGAGGATCATCTGCAGGGCAGAGGGACACAGAGGCACGAGGCTCACCTGGCCGCCTGGGGAGACCGCGCTGCGGCCGGGGCACACGAGGGCAGAGGCTGCGATTCCCGGTGTCGCAGGCCCGCGGTCACTTTTCTCCCGCATCCTGCCCTTCGCCAAGTCTGAACTCACGGCACCTGAGCCCTTGCTGCGCCCTGGCCCCAGCTCAGCGGACTTGGAGGGGACCATGGCACGCCGCACGTGGCGTCCCGGGCTCTGGCGTGCGGTTGCCTTGGTCCCGGGCATTCTGGTCATTTCCTCTGAGCTCACACAGCCGGGCAGTTCGTAGGGGCTCCACAGTGTCTGAGTGGGGGGCTGTTGGCATCTCTCGGGAGCAGGTCCTCACCACGGCCCACTCTCAGAAGAGGGATGAGGGCTCCTCTTGGGAGGGGTTCAGGGGCTCAGAGGTAGTCCTGCTCCCGGACGGCATGCCCTGTGCCCGCTCACAGGTGCCAACAAGCCTGGAAGTTGGATGCTAGAGCTCGTGGGGGGTGCTATGGCCTGAACAGCATCTCTTTCAAGTTCACATGCAGGAGCCCTAACCCAGTGAGACTGTATCTGGAGATGGGGCATTTGGCAGATTATTAAGGTTAAACGAGGTCCTAAGGATGGGGCCCTAATACGATAGGCCTGGCATCTGTGTAAGAGGAAGACACCCCAGGCATGTCACACAGAGAAAGACCGCGCCTCTGTCTGAGCAGGCCTCTGTCTACAGGCCGAGGAGGGGACCTCAGAAGGAACCACCCCTGCCCACACCTTGATCTCGGACCCCCAGCCTCGGGCACTGGGGGACAACAGGTTTCTGTTGTTGAAGCCGCCCAACCTGTGGCTCTTTGTTATGGCAGCCGGAGCAGCTCACATGGGGCCAAGGCCCCCTGCAGCTCCGAATCAGCAAGAGGGAGCCCGACTCTGCATCGTCGGAGTGTCCTGGGGCGTCCCACCAGTCCCACCTTAGCCCATGGCTGTGATCCTATCAAAACTCAGCATTCCCTGGGGAAGCTTCCAGGCCGACAGGGACTCTTTACGTAGAGTCTCAAATAGGACCCCAAAGTGTAGAGAAGTCGCAGGCCCCTCCAAGCCTGGATGTGCCCCGGGTTTCACCAGGGTTTCGTCTGTCCAAGTCAATGTCCCCTAAGGACGAAGCCCGATGAACTGTCAGCAGCGCCCTCCTGTGTATCAGGCACACGGGGGCCCAGTGGTCAGGGGAGAGCTGAACCCAGTTTAACTAAAGATGCTACCACCCCGTCGGACCCCTGGATTTATTTTGTTAATCGGTTGTATTAATTTCCTGAATGTGTCTGTGGGTGACGTACAAGCTCTTTGGACCGGCTGCCCTCTCTGTGCCTTCTAGAGCGATTCTGAGACTCGGTCTTGGGACCAAAGCAGAGAGGCCGTACAGCCCGGTGTTCACGAGCTGGCCTTCAGGAGCGGGGGGCACGGGTGGTCCGGCCACCGCTCTCAGCCTCAGCGCCCTGTGCTGGAAACGGGGTGCCGATCCCTGGCAGACAGGGCCACTGTCTGACTTCCCAAGCTAAGCTCCGAGCAGAGCGTCTGGTCCAAGGTGATTGCTCACTAAATGGACCCTGTTAATGAGAGTTTCACTTGGGGTCCTGACCGTCCAAAATCCAGGACGTCCTCAGCTGCTGAGACGGGCTTCTCCTTGGATGGCGGCAATTGGACCTTGCAAACCGACCCTCTTGTCAGCCCCAAACATTGTGTGCCAACCCAGACAACAGCCCCAGCGTTTGGTGGCACTGGGTGTTCGCAGCCATTGGTTTGGCAGCCCTGGAGGCGCCTGGACGGGAAGGGAACGCTGGGGTTGGTTCTTCTGAGTGCCTACGACGTGCTAGGCCTGGCACAGGGACCTCATTTAGTCTGACCCCTGTTTTTGCCCAGTGAAACCATTGAGATCCTGGCAAAAAAGTGGCACACTGGAAGCCAACCCCCCGGACACCAGGTCCCAACCAGTGCTTGGGGTGTAGCCACTCATGTTAGCTTCTTTAGGGGGGGCTCTGCTAAAAAGAGGAGGGTCGCTGGTTACAGATTGTTTCTAGAGTCAGGAGGTGGGTTCTGGGAGGCTCGGGACACTGCATTTGCGACACTGAGTCACTGCAAACCGCTGCTAACGATAACACGTGACTCTCCACCAGGGCCACGGGCAGCTCGTGACGGCAAAGCTCCCTCTGAAACGGTCGTGACCACAGCAAGTGGCCTCTTCCTTGAGCCGCTAACGAATCAACTGGTCACGGGCTGCTTTTAAAATGGTATCACCATGCTCTGCTCTTCAATGAGCCGGTGTCTTAGACTCTGTGGGCTGCTGGGAACATCTGGGGGGCTGTGGCTCCCTGCCATCCATGGGCCTGGGGCAACCCGAGGCCCCTGTGCTGTCCTGAGGCCACCAGGCTCCCGGGGAAGGCTCCTCCATGCCCCAGTGTGGCCCTGGGACATCACAGGCACTGTTGCTGAACCCCGAGTTCTCCTGTGATCAGCAGGGGTGGAACCTCGCCCTCGAGAAAAGCCTGCGCTCTGGGGTGGGGCACACCCGTTGTCCAGGTCTGTCCTGACGCTTTGGCCACTCACTTAATGTCCCCGAGCCTCAGTTTCCCCATCTGAAAATGAACCAAACTGAGATGATCTGATGAGACCCTGACCTCACGGGGTGCTCAGGGGGACCACAGGCAGGAAGACGGGGTGCAGGCTCAGCCCCGTTCTCAGCAGGAAGCGAGGGGACGACTTGGGTGGTGATTGTTGTGACAACCAGACACCGAAGTCGTGCTTCTAACGAGGCCTGTACAGTGTGACATGAACACGGGCAGTTCTGACTTTAGGGTGGTCAGTGTGGGCCTCCTGCCCCTCGCACCGTTCGGTTGCAGTGCCCGGACCTGGTCTGTCCCCAGCCCAGGCCCCTGTGTGGGCGCCGCCTCTCTGAGCTCGATGTCGGTGCCTGGGAAGCGGGGTGGTACCCACCGTCAGTGAGATGATGGAGATGATGTTCGGGAGTGGTCAGCAGGGGGCCGAGTCGTTACTTTGAAACGAATGGCGCTCCTGAAGGTTAATCGGTGTCCTCTAGAGCACCCCCCCAGAAGTGGGTCTGCTCGGTTCCCCTCCCCTTCCTCGCCTTCTCTCCAGAGAGCCCAGGGCGCCTGTCTGCGTGGGCCAGGTCAGGTGGTTCACAGTCTGATTTCCGGGACGTTTGGTGCGAGAGTCCGCAGTGGGACCGGGACATGGGTTCCAGTCCTGCGTCGGGGGCTTACCGGGCCCGTGCACGGGGACCCTGTTCGGAGTCTTGCACTCTTGGGGCCTAGGTAGGGGTTGAATCTGACCGTCACCAAGACCCTCTCTGGCTCTACCTTTCTATGATGCCTGGTTGGCACAGCAACAAGCATCCCCCCAGGGACAAACATGCCAGGGCTCAGTCTCAAAGCTTTGCCCAGCCAGCCCCGCCCGCCGCTGCCACCCGACTGGGCGCGAGACCGCCCTTACCTTGTGCTGCTTCTCCAGTTTGATGGCTTTCTGTGCGTCCTTCTGCTCCTGCACCCACAGCTGCTGGTACCGGTGCTGCAGCAGGTCAAAGAAGGGGGTGGAAGGCCTGCGGGGGGAGTGCAGGGGCCTTGAGGTCCAGGAGCCAGGGCACCCTCCCCAGCCACCGCCTGGCTGGCCAGGCCCCGGGGCAGACCCCTCCCCCAGGCCTCCAGAGCTCTCTCCCCCTTTGGAAGCTGAGGAAGAAGCGGCCGCCTCAAGCGAGTCATTCCACAAACACTGACCGCACCCCGATCACGTGCTGGGCCTGGGAGGGTGACAGAGACGGTCTCCTTGACCAGATTTGAGAGAGGCTCCTTGGGACCCTTGGCCGTTTGACTCAGCCTCACCCTTGGGCCCCTGAAGCCAGTCTTAACAAAGAACCTGTGAGCCCGGCCGGTGTGGCTCAGCGGTTGAGCGTTGACCCACACACAAAGAGGTTGCTGGTTTGATTCCCGGTCAGGGCACATGCCCAGGCTGTGGGCCCGATCCCCAGTGGGGGGCATGCAGGGTGCGGGGCATGCAGGAGGCGGCCCATCGATGTTCTTTCTCATTGATGTTTCTATCTCTCTTTTCCTCTCCCTTCCTCTCTCTCTAAAATCAATAAAGATAAAATAAAAATAGAACCTGCAAAGCCAGCCCCACCCCTGCTGTGGGGTCACCAGGCCTGCCTTACCAAGGACCCTGTAAGTCAGGTTAGCAAGAATCCGCCGCCCTCAACATCGCCTCTTGGTGACCCCCCCGCCGACCCTGCGCTGTGCCCTTGGCTGCACACCCACCCATGTTGCATTCAGACCGAGCCCCTTCGGCTGAAGTCACTTCCCCTCTGTGAAGGACCTGAGTCAACCTGCCTGCACCCCTTCAGTGCCGGCTCGGCCTCGGCGACAAGGGTCCAGCCAAGCGGCACTTGTCCTGTGCAGGGCGTGCTGTGTGCTCGGCTCCTTTGCAGCACCGCAAAGCCGGACATCACCCTGGAGACGAAGGGGTAAGGTCCCAGGGCAGTGGGATGGTGCTGAGACCGCTCGGGGTGACACAGCAGGTGCGTTCTCACAGAAGGACCAGAGCTGACAAATGCAGGAGGAAGGACAGAACTGAGGAGAGGGGACCCTCTCTCTCTCACGCTCCTCGTGAAATAATGGATGTAGGTAAAAGTCATCAATGGCTACTAAGTGATTACGTGGCAGGCAGGTGGGAAGGGGGGGCTTTACCAGGGGTGGGTCAGGCTACAGCGACGGAACCCAGTGATCAGTATGTTTTATTGTGGTAAAATATACATAACATAAAATGTACTCAAATGATCAACTTTAACATCATTGAAGGTGGCAGACACAGTGTGGAAATGATACGAAAGATTCGTGGCACCATCCACCAACTGCTTGGGGAAAATGCCTGAAATGAACCTGAAGGCATCCAGCTTTGCGACAAACACCATCAGACAGTCTAACGTAAGCCATGCGGCTACACTGCGACAAACACCATCAGACGGTCTAACGTGAGCCATGCGGCTACACTGCGACAAACACCATCAGACGGTCTAACATGAGCCATGCGGCTACACTGCGACAAACACCATCAGACGGTCTAACGTGAGCCATGCGGCTACACTGCGACAAACACCATCAGACGGTCTAACGTGAGCCATGCGGCTACACTGCGACAAACACCATCAGACGGTCTAACGTGAGCCATGCGGCTACACTGCGACAAACACCATCAGACGGTCTAACGTGAGCCATGCGGCTACACTGCGACAAACACCATCAGACGGTCTAACGTGAGCCATGCGGCTACACTGAGACAAACACCATCAGACGGTCTAACGTGAGCCATGCGGCTACACTGCGACAAACACCATCAGACAGTCTAACGTAAGCCATGCAGCTACACTGATTTCAGTAGCCGTGTTAGAGGGAACCAGGGAGCCCGGCCGGCGTGGCTCAGAGCACTGTCCCGTGCACCGAAAGGTTGCCGGTTCAATTCCCCATCAGGGCACATGCCTGGCAGGGGGTTCATCCCCAGTTGGGACATGTATGGAAGGCAACCAATAGATGTTTCTCTCGCTCTCCTTCCCTCTTCCTTCCCTCTCTCTCTCAAATCAATAAAATAATATCCTTGGATGAGTATACAAAATTTTTTTAAAAAAAGAAACAAGTGAAATTAATTTTGCTAATATACCCAAAATATTATCGTGTCAACATGGAATCCCTTTAAAATATCAATGAGACGTTTAAACCATCAGGTTTTTAAATCTGAATTTGAATTAGTTAAAAATAAAGAGGAAACGCCCTTCCTAGTGCGTGGAGCCGTGGGCTTAGCGCTGCCTTATGGTTCGCGCGGGGGAGGCGGGGAGGGGCGCCCCACTTCCCCGCCAGGATGTGGTCACCTAGAGTGTGGGACATTCCGCAGGACAAATGACGCGGTCACTGCGGCAAACGAGGCACATGGGAGAGAAGAGAGGATGAGGAAGGAAGTAGATTGAAGGTGGCCTAAGGAGCAGTCGACCACGGGCCACGCTGGACCGGCTCAGAGCTGACCCACGCAGACCAGAGCGGAAAGGCGTCTGGGGGACCCGGGAACAGTGAGCACCAGTGCAGGCCGTGGGCCGTGGGGTGCGCGGCTGTTACACACGCATCCTGAGCGGTTTGTAAGTGAATAATGGGTTGCTGCAGATTTTTTAGTTTGTTCAGAAGATACTCCAGCAAGAACGAAAACAACAGAAACAAAGCTGTGCGAGAGGGAAGGCAGAGCGGTCGGTAAGGCTGGGAGCTGCGTGAGGCGAACCACGGGCGGGCTGTCATCCTCCGGCTCTGCTTTCATGCATATTTAAAATTTTTCGTAAGGAGAAGTGAAAAAACGAAAAAGAAAAGAAAAACCAGTGAAGGAAGCTCATTGTTTTCCCCAGTCACTCCTCTCCGACCTTCCTTTGACCCTGGACAGCTGAGTCACCTTCCCAGGACCCAGCAGGTGGGCTGCAGAATCACGTGGGCCCCGCCCCCACAGGTTCTCATTCAGGGAGAGGGAGGGGCCCAAGACAGAGCATTTTGAGCAAACATAGGAAGTAGTTCTGAAACAGGGCGGAGAGGATCGAATGGTGCCCCCCAAAGATATGTTTCCATCCTTTATTTGGAAAAAAGGGCTTTTGAGACAATCAAGGATCTCAAGGTAGAGTAAATAATTCTGGACATGCTTTTCAGGGAAGGCCCTAAACCCAATGACAGTGTCCTCGTAAGAGATACACAGAAGCGAGACGCAGGGAAGAGGCGGGTGACGTGAGGACGCAGGCAGAGATCGGAGGGTGGCTCTCACGGTCTGGGATCCCCAGAAGCTGGAAGGGTAGAGTCAGGGAAAAGCCCTCCCCTGGAGCCTCCCCAGCAGGGGGCGCGTGGCCCTGCTGACACCTTGGATTTAAACTCTTGAACTGGAGGGAACACACTTCTGTGATTTTAAGCCACCAAGCTTGTGGCGATAGTTAGTGCAGCCCCAGGACACAGAAACACAGGGCTTCCTGAGCCCAGACTTTGGGAAACACCAGTAGAAACGGCAGCTGGGCGCCGCTCAGAGGAGGTCCCCTGCTGGGACACCACAGAGCCCTCCACAGCTGGAGCCACAGAGCAACGGGTCTCCGGAGGGCACGGGCCACGGGGGGCCTCGTCAGAAGCATGTCCTGGTCAGTGGGCCTGGAGGTGCCTGGCCCAGGACCCCCACCCGGAGACCATCCAGCCCCCACACCCAGAGCCCTGACGTGCCGTGCAGGCGCAGGCAGTGTTTCTGAGCGGGTGTGTACAGGCACTCTGTCCGGGGCGAGGACGCACAGTGTGTCACATTCTCAGAGGTGTGTGTGCCCCAGGAAAGGCTGAGCGCCTCCGATCTGACCCTGTGACCGCAGAAGAGAAGCCACCCCCAAGGTCGTGCAGCTAGGACCTGAGACGGAATACCTTGGGCCTCGGGCTGTGCACCGTGGTCCTCAGACTTCGACATCCTTGTCAACACTTAAAGACTGGCCCGTTGACCCCACAGACCCCTCGGGGACTGCCGACCCGAGACTCTGAATGGAGCGTCAGGCTCTGAAATGCCACACGGTGCAGAGGCCTCTTCACGGAGCAGCCCGCGCACATCCTTCCCCTGTGGAGACTTTTATTGCTTCATTATTACACGCCCCATGCTCCTGAGCCGCCTAATTTATAGCCGCGCTTTCCAATGACACCGGATGTGGAGTCTGGCACCAGCCCCCCCCAGAGGCCTTCGCCACCGAGGAGCTGGCTTCCCGGCAGCCCGCGGCACACACCACGGCGACCTGCCCCGGTCCTCCTGCAGCCACACTGACCGGCCACGGTCTCACCTCCTGGGAACAGGCAGGGAGGCGCTCGGAGCCGGGGAGGAGCTGGTAAACCTGTCGCTCACCGCCCCCAGCCCTGGCTGGCTGAAGGACATCCAGCAGGGTCTGCCCTGGCTCACTAACGGGGCTCAGAGGTCGGAGGCTTGTCCGACCTGGGACACCTCAGGGAGTGGATGGGATCACATCACCCCTCTTCAAACAGCCTCAATGGCCTTTTCTTTCTTAGACTGAGCCGAGAGAGAGAGAGAGAGAGAGAGAGAGAGAGAGAGAGAGAGGGAGGGGGAGGGGGAGGGGGAGGGAGAGAGATGAGGCAACACTTTAGGAGATGTACTTTTCATGCGCCAGGGTGTGATGAATTAGCTGGACATGAGTTATAATAAGTCAGAGGACGTTCACCTATCGGAATGCAGTCCAGTGCAGGGAGGAGGGACAGTCTTTTCAACAAATGGCGCCGGAACAACTGGACATCAAAGGCATAAACACAGAAAACTCGTGATCTAATTCTCACACATACACAAGAGCGAACTCCAAACGGACCGTAGATTTACACGCAAGGCTAAGGAACTTGTAAAAAAGTGAGGGCAAGAATCTTTGGGAGCCAGGGTTAGGCTAGGAGACAGGTTCTAGACTTGACACCAGAAGCGTGACCCACAAGAGAAAGAAATACGTAGGCTGGACTGCCCCGAGACGACGGACTTGTGCTTTGCGGATGAGAAGGTGAACCCCAGCCTGGG